TACGGATGTTGTAGAGCATGAACCTGCAGGAGCGAGTCACTGCTTTGATGGTTTCCCGGGAGGAACAGCAGCTCCATCTTGTCGAGGTGGTGGGCCGCATAGCAATGACAGGAGAGACCATGTGAGGTGAGTGACTTGGTGTATAGAGAGAAGAGGGCCTAGAACCGAGCCCTGGGGGACACCAGTAATGAGAGTACATGGTGCAGACACAGATCCTCTCCACATCACCTGAGGCATCAGGGAGGGGAAAGAGAGAGTTGGAATGAAATGAATCGAAGGCAGACATCGGGAGGTTGAAGTACAAAGAGCGGTGAGCCATCTTTAGAAAATCAGGGAGTCAAGCTCATTAAGGAACTCTCCAAGGGTACCTGGTGGGCGATAGATGACAACAATGTTAAGCTTGAGTGGAGAAGTGACAGTGACAGCATAGAATTCAAAATGAGGAGAATGACAGGTGAGAGAGGGAGAAAATAGAAAATTAGTAGCCCTGTGCCACCACCGCGACGACCAGATGCTCTCGGACTATGAGAGAAAATGTAGTCAGATGAAGAGAGAGCAGATGGAGTAGCAGTGTTCTCTGGGGTGATCCATGTCTCCATCAGGGCCAAAAATAGTAAAGGGACTCATAATAATGGCTGGAACGGAGCAAATGGAATGGCATCAAACACCTGGAAACCATGTGTTTGATACCATTCCACTAACTCCGCTCCAGTCATTACCACAAGCTAATTCTCCCCAAGCAAGGTGCCACCAACCTCCTGTGGCTGAGATGAACTCTGCGTTCCTGACCATAGAGCAGCAGTTCCAAACGCTGCCAGAGACCCGGATTTCCACATGGGTTGTGAGTGCAGGGTACACTAAATTAGAAGGGTTGCAGCCAAGGGGTGGGGAGCGTCTGTAAAGCCTACAGTGAGAGGAGCGAACAGGTACAGTGCTATGAAAAAGTATTTGCCCCCTTTCTAATTTTCTCTACTTTTGCATATTTGTGATACTTAATGTTATCAGATCTTCAACCAAAACCTAATATTAGATAAAGGGAACATAAGTGAACAAATAACAACAATTACATATTTATTTCATAAACAAAGTTATGCAACACCCAATTCCCCTGTGTGAAAAAGTAATTGCCCCATTACACTCAATAACTGGTTGTGCCACCTTTAGCTGCAATGATTCCAACCAAATGCTTCCTGTAGTTGTTGATCAGTCTCTCACGTCGCTGTGGAGGAATTTTGGCCCACTCTTCCATGCAGAACTGCTTTAACTAGGTGACGTGTGGGTTTTCAAGCATGAACTGCTCGTTTCAAGTCCTGCCACAACATCTCAATTGGGATTAGGTCTGGACTTTGACTAGGCCATTCCAAAACTTCCAATGTATTGCTTTTTAGCAATTTTCATGTAGACTTGATTGTGTGTTTTGGATCATTGTCTTGCTGCATGACCCAGCTGCGCTTCAGCTTCAGCTCACAGACGGATGGTCTGACATTCTCCTGTAGAATTCTCTGATACAGAGCAGAAATCATGGTTCCTTCTATTAAGGCAAGTCGTCCAGGTCCTGAGGCAGCAAAGCATCCCAAAAAGCACCTGGAGTCACACATTTCCCTGCCCCTTAATCCTGGTTGATGTGTCACCAATCATCTGCAAATTATGAGCAGTCAGCAGTTCACACACCAAGTAGGCTACTGCTGGGTAGACACACAGCACTTAAAGTAGATGGCCCTAGCTAGCAAAAAGACAGTACTAGACAATTACAGATAAAGACAAAAATTATACTTATCACTCCTGGAGATATCAGGAGTCCACTAGCTATAGAATGGGGATTACAGACTGGGACAAAGAGAGGTTGAAAATGACCGTGAAGATGCTGGTCTGCGCATGCTCTGAGAATGCACCCTGGAATACCATCTTGCCCTGTGGCCTTGGATGTGTTGACCAGATTAAAAACCTTACTCACAGCGACCTCAGAGAGCGAGATCACCCAATCCTCTGCATTGAGTTTGTCTGGTAGCGAGGCATCGTTGGATAGATCAGTTAGGTCTACCACGCACACACACACTCTGATATTGACTAATGAGTCAGTCACAGGGTAGCATGGCCCTCATTAATCACAGGGATAAACAACCTGTATGTGTGTGTGACACAAATTTGTTGACTGTGTGTTTACACAGATTTGAAAATAAACATGAACCAAATTATAACTATAATCAGTTTTAATCAGTTTAAGTAGTTTTTAGACTTATTCCTAAAATAAACAGCAGACATTTGAAATCTCCTGAGGTATTTGTGGCATTCTCTGTCTCTTTGCAATTACATTGCTTCCAGAGGTAGAACAGTCTGCCAGAGAATGTGACCTTACAGTAAGTCTGATCACCTTATACCTGACTAATGACGGCAGCATTACTGTACATGACATCATTGACTAAACACCACCATCAGTATGAGAAATTAAAGATCAACAACACACACAAATGTCTTTGTTGTAAGGGTTGTGCACAAAGAAAATGTCACAAAGAACTCAAGGAACAAACAACCAACAAATCAAACCCATCACACTCAGTTTAACCCCTTATCCTCAACTAGTGACCACCACAACACTATAGTGTACATGACATCACACAGACTAACACCACAATATGATGTGATCTGTGCATAAGTACACGTGGCCCTTTAGTAAAATGCAGGTCCTGTCCCCTTACTTCCGTCCTCTGATCCCTGGATGTAGCCCCAGTGGAAGCAAGGTGTGAGGGTCACAGAGCTGGAGTCTGAGGGCTCACTGTGGCGATGATCTGTCATCCTTGTGTCCCTGTGTGTGAGACCTCGATCCTGGCCTCTGAGATGTGAAAGCACTGACTTACAGTATACTGTAGACCTGACAGACATCACAGATAGGTCACAGTGCCTGGGTACCTGAGCTTAGTGTGTTTTTGATAGGGCTGACAGGGTCAATGGAGGGAACGTGATATGATGTCAGTAACTAATGTAGCCAGCACAGTGACACCAATACACTCTCTCCTCAGCCCACCGGTCCGCACCACCCTCTTCTCCATCAACTCACTAACTACTCCTACCTAAACAGCAGCTTACTCACCCCTATCCCTCCTCAACCCTTCTCACCCCTCCTCTTCTCCTCCTCCCCCTCTTTGTAGAGGCCACATCACCTTACCTCCCCCTTCCCCCTCTCTAACTACAAACCAACCTACCTAAATAAATATGTGAATGGAAGCAGGGGGTTAATGGGGCCAAGTTTGGGAAGGGAGGGAGGGAGGGAGGGAGAGATGGAGAGGTGGGGGGCCCTGGGGAACTCATTATAACCACACAGAAGGGACATTAACACACTGAGTTATTACACACACACACTCACAGACGCACGTACGCACACACACCTTTGGTAGTGAGGGCCTTGGTATGATTTGAGTTCTCAGGACAGACAGCAGAACAGACTTGTGTCCTAGCCGTAGAGAGCGGAGGCCCTCATAGGTATGCTGTGTCAGTTACACTATGATATCCTGCCCTATCACAGGCCTTTCATGATCCTGTATTCAATAAAAACTATTTCCTTTTATTGCGTTCCTCTCTCTCTCTCTCTCTCTCTCTCTCTCTCTCTCAACTTTGTGATGTTTGTTTACCAGTGCATGTTTTATGATCATCATTTTAATTGATGGTTCCCTGTCAACCTCCTCCGACAATGCTGCATGAACATAAACAACTACTAAAGCAAAACATGTGCTTCTCTCTCCTCCAGCTGTGTGTATGTGCATGTGTGTTTCTGTGTGTGTCTGTCCGTGTGTGTCCGTGTGTGTTTGTGTGCACATGCTGCCTGTGTGTGTGGAGCCTCTGCACGTGACGCTTAGGGCATTTTCACACAGTTTTGAGCTAGGCCTATGGTTCAAATCGGGGTTCGAATATTTGTTACATTGTATTCTTTTCATTTGGTCACATTTTAGTTTGTCAAACAAACAAAAATTCCTAAAATTAACCATGTGTCTATGCAAGTAATTTGTTTCTTGGACAAAAATGGTCACGTTAAATCAATCTATGATTATTATTCATGAAGCATCACGTGTCCCAATCTTCATATTTGGTCTTCCAACAACATGTGGGAGGAAACAGCACAATAGCCTCTCTTACTGCACGTGAATAGGCTATATTCAGTAGCCTATCCCCGGTATAGCCCTAATCTGCCTATACTCACAAAATGTAGAGATATGAAGTTATGATGCTGCGTAATTGTCCTGTGTTTGGTCAGGACTGCGTTCTCACCTGCAGCGAACTGCACCACAGCACAAATTGAATTGAACCGAGACCACCCTTTTTGAGTGAACCATGCATGGTACGTTGTTTACCCAGATATAAAAAATGTCCTCCCGCTTGCTATTTTCCGCTTTCCCTACGCACAAGGCTTTAAATTCCTACCGCCAGCGGGAGAGTGGAGTTTGAGGACATGATTTGCATCTCTGGTGGGTAGCACCCACCCATAGGACCGCTATACAGTGTAAGCCCTTAGCATGCCGCTTTTACATCTCTGGCGTTTAGCCTCCACTCAGAGGATATCTATAAGCCCTAGGCAAGCCATCTAGCCATGAGTTAATTTGAAGGACAATAGCGAGGAATTTCTCTAATTTCAAATTCGGCATTCCTTTTTCCAGCTAACCACAGCTGTTTTTGTTGTTTCTATAAATACCTTATATTTTTTGTGACTTTAATTTGATTCGATTTATTTGCCAATTTAAAAACATAATACAACCACACGTGGACATAATGCATTTACAATAATTGAGGATGACACAAAAATTGATACACCTAATAATTTACAGTTTAAGTAATGATACTGTATATTGATTATTCCCTTAATAGCCTACACTTATTCCATTGATTTAATATACTATATATTTGAGGCAATACAAACGGTTCCTTTCTAGCAATAAATGCCACTCCCTAAACCACTTCAACCACTTGAAGAAAAGTGTTGATCACTACGTAGTAGGTGTCAGCACCTCTTAAACCCCACAGAAGAAGCCGAAAAGCCTCAACAGGAAGTTATCTTTGTTACCATCCTCCATCAAGTTTTCGAACCTGTCTCTGCTTTTGGGAAAGAACATTCCACAGTCTTTTGGGGAACTAAATTGTTTCATATCTGTTCTGTCTCTTATCTTAGCCTATACAGAATGGATGGTTAAAGCATTTCAGCTGCTTAATTATTATTTATTAACGGGCAACATCTCAGCATCAATACAGGCGTGCTGGTCACTGCAGTAGCATGGTAAGAACGAGTGTTATACACATTAGTGTCCCAACTGCAACATATAACAATACTATTGTTACATCTTTTCTTTTAGTTGTTGTAAGTGTGAAATCCTACCATAACAGCATAATCCCAAAACTGTATACAGTGTCACAAAACTGTCAGAATTACTCAATATCAACTTTGTGACATAAAAAACAGTAAAAAAAAACTTTAGAACTTTCCACCTCACAGCTGTCACTTTTCTATTCCCTTTGTTTTAATTATTGTCAGTGACTTTTCTGTCTGTTTTGTTTTCCAAATCTTTCAGGTACCTGACTACTGTGAGGCCAGATCTGGTAGTGACCTGTTGTGTGTCCCCAGTCGCACACATCTGGAGTCGAAACAGTCCCTATAGTCCCAGGTTGACTTTGCTCTGTGGTTGAGTTATGATCCCCACTGAGATGGCGACGATTCCTCCTCAGAATACCTCCAGTGGGGCCTCCCGAGTAGCGCAGCAGTCTAAGGCACTGCAGCTCTTGAGGCGTCACTACAGATCCGGGTTCGATCCCGGGCTGTGTCGCAGCCGGCCGCGACCGGGAGACCAATTAGGCGACGCACAATTGGCCCAGCATCGTCCGGGTTAGGGGAGGGTTTGGCCGGCCGGGATGTCCTTGTCCCATTGCGCTCTAGCGAATCCTGTGGTGGGCCGGGTGCATGCACGCTGACACGGTCGCCAGTTGTACAGTGTTTCCTCCGACACATTGGTGCGGCTGGCTTCCGGGTTAAGCGAGCAGTGTGTCAAGAAGCAGTGTAGCTTGGCAGGGTCGTGTTTCGGAGGAAGCATGGCTCTCGACCTTCGCCTCTTCCTAGTCCATACAGGAGTTGCAGCGATGGGACAAGACTTTAACTACCAATTGGATATCACGAAAAAAGGGGTAAAATTCTACAGATTTCAGCCCTTTTGCTTTTCTCCAGAATGTGTGTGGTTCTATAGGTTGGATTTTAACACTTTCATCTGCTCTTAATGTTCTCATGTCCTTAGCGTCGGTCATAGTAGGTTGCTTTTTTTTTGGTGGTTTTCTATCAGGCATTGGCTTGTTTGTTTTATCTCTGGTTGTAGAAGACTATCCCTTATGGGTAGAAGAGTTCTGGTTCTCCTACTCAGCAGTCTTTGAGCTGGGCTCGTGTTCTTTCCTTGTGATGGTATATTGCGATGGTCCAGTATAGCCAGGTAAGGGTCTTTGTCTTCTGTTTTGGCTTTCAGCATCAGACGTTTTGGACTCTGCTTTCTCATTACTTTGAGGGTAACCAGGTGACGAGGTCTTGTGTTCGAAATCCCATAGTTCGCTGAATCTTTTGAAATCCTGTGAGGAATACTGAGGTCCATTATCAGAGAAACAGACATCTGGTATCCCTTGCCTTGCAAAGTGTGATTTAAGCTTGCGGATCAAAGTGGTGGACCTTGTTTCAGGTCGGTAATAAAGTTCCCAGAAATTGGAAAGGTAATCAGATTATCTCAAATGTAAACAGGTCTGTGCCTACCTTTTCTTGTGTTCGACTAGGCAGCTCATGTGGACAAAGTGTCTCCTTTTGTTGTTTTGCATCCCTAGACCTGCAGATGTCGCACTTTTCTATGAATGTCTTAACCTGTTCGTTCATGCCAGTATACACATTATCTTGCCCTCCTGAGACATCCTTCAATCCCAATGTGAGAAGAGTGAATCAGTTGAGTTATTTCACATCTAAATGTGTCTGGAATAACTGCTCTTTCTCCTCTGAATATGATTCCATCTTGAATACTTTGTTTATCTTGAAACGAGTAGTAGTGTATGACATCCTTCAGTGTATCCATTTTCTTCTTTGGCCATCCCTACTGAATGGTCTGTATCAGCGTCTGCATTTTCTTGTATTTTGCTGTTTCAGAGCAAAGGGGTGAGTGCTACGGGCCAATAGTCATTTAGTTCAGTTACCTTTGCTTTCTTGGGTACAAGAACAATGGTGGCCATCTTGAAGCATGTGGGGACAGCAGACTGGGATAGGGAGAGATTGAATATGTCCGTAAACACACCAACCAGCTGGTCTGCGTGTGCTCTGAGGACGCGGCTAGGGATGCCGTCTGGGCCGGCAGCCTTGCGGGGGTTAACATGCTTAAATGTCTTACTCATGTCGGCCACAGAGAAGGAGAGCCAGTCCTTGGTAGTGGGCCACGTCGGTGGCACTGTGTTATCCTCAAAGTGGGCGAAGAAGGTGTTTAGCTTGTCCGGAAGCGAGACGTCGGTGTCAGCGACGTGGCTGGTTTTCCTTTTGTAGTCTGTGATTGTCTGTAGACCCTGCCACATACGTCTCGTGTCTGAGCCGTTGAATTGCGACTCCACTTTGTCTCTATACTGATGTTTTGCCAGTTTAATTGCCTTGCGGAGTGAGTAGCTACACTGTTTGTATTCTGCCATGTTCCCAGTCACCTTGCCATGGTTAAATGCCGTGGATTGCACTTTCAGTTTTGCGCGAATGCTGCCATCTATCCACAGTTTCTGGTTAGGGTAGGTTTTAATAGTCACAGTGGGCACAACATCTCCTATACACTTCCTGATAAACTCATTCACCTTTTCAGTGTATTCGTCTAAATTATTTTCGCAAGCTACTCGGAACATATCCCAGTCCGGGTGATCAAAACAATCTTGAAGCGTGGATTCCGATTGGTCAGACCAACGTTGAATAGTCCTTAGCACGGGTACCTCCTGTTTGAGTTTCTCCCTATAGGAAGGGAGGAGCAAAACGGAGTCGTGGTCAGATTTGCCGAAAGGAGGGCAGGGGAGGGCCTTATAACCATCCTGGATGTTCAAATAGCAATGGTCGAAGATTTTAGCAGCCCGAGTACAACAGTCGATATGTTGATAGAACTTCCGCAGCCTAGTCCTCAAATTTGCTTTGTTAAAATCCCCGGCTACAATAAATGCAGCCTCAGGATATGTGGTTTCCAGTTTGCATAAAGTCCAGTGAAGTTCTTTGAGGGCCGTTGTGGTATCGGCTTAAGGGGGGATATACACGGCCGTGACTATAACCGAATAAAATTATATTGGGAGATAATACGGTCGGCATTTGATTGTGAGGTATTCTTGGTCGGGTGAACAAAAGGACTTGAGTTCCTGTATGTTACTACAATTACACCATGAGTCGTTAATCATGAAACACACACCTCCGCCCATCTGCTTCCCAGAGAGATATTTATTTCTGTCTGCGCGATGAACTGAGAACCCATCTGGCTGGACCGATTTCGACAGAATATCCCCAGAGAGCCGTGTTTCCATGAAACAAAGTATGTTACAGGCCCTGATGTCTCTCTGGAAAGAAATCCTTGCCCTGAGCTCGTCGACTTTGTTATCCAAACACTGAACATTAGCAAGTAGTATCATTGGAAGCGGTGGGTGGTGTGCGTGCCTCCTAAGTCGAACCAGCAGGCCGCTCAGAGTGCCTCTCCTCCGCCGGCGATGTTTTGGGTCAGCCGCTGGAATCAGTTCAATTGCCCTGGGGAGAGCAAACAAAGGATCTGCTTCGGGAAAGTCGTATTCCTGGTCGTAATGCTACGGAGTTACCGCCGTTCTGATATCCAATAGTTTTTCCCAGCTGTATGTAATGATACAAACACTTTCTGAGCTAATAATGTAAAAAATAATACATAAAAAAACAAAATCTAAATATTCCCTTTTTTTGTTCTCCATAGTCCATTGACCCTCTGTGTCCGTTCCTGCTGTCGCAATGCTATCCATGCACAGCGAGAATGTTCACAAACAACACTTTTGCTAGGTTCATGGCCTGAACTCCATACTGCCTAGTATTGGCACTGTAAAGCCCTAATCAACATCTATACACACTAGACGGTACAGTTTCTTGTTTCATGGATTTCTCAGTTTAATCTTGCATTTGCATGGCTGTTGTGTGCTCTTGTTGTACATCACCAGGACTCGGTTTGTTTTCGCAACTTCTGTGACCGGGTTCAGTAGATTCATTAGGATAATATTACAGCTTGCTCCACAATCTAACTGAAATATCACTAGTTCTTTGCCAATGAGCATTGCTGTCCGTACTGTCTTTTCCTGTATTTACAGTCTCTGTAATAACACACAATCTCCTCGTATTTCTCATCTGTCTCAGTCACGTTATTCACTGATTGTCCTCTCCCTTCAATTGACATGGACTTTGCAGCAAAATGATTGTGCTTCCCACACTTTGTACATTGCTTTCCAAAAGCTGGGCATTTCGTTTTATTCCTCTCATGTGGTTTCCCACAGAATTTGCATGAGATTAAATCTTTGTCCTTTTCTTTCTTTGCTGTATGTTTCATTGCATGTACTTTCTCAACTGTATTTCCTTGAATTATTTTACTGTTCTCACGTGACAACTCAGAAGCTCTACATATCTGCATACATTTGTCTAATAGCAGTCTCTCTCTAAGATGGGAGTTACATACAGTGGCATGCGAAAGTATTCACCCCCCTTGGCATTTTTCCTATTTTGTTGCATTACAACCTGGAATTAAAACGGATTTTTTGGATGTTTGTATCATTTGATTTACACAATATGCCTACCACTTTGAAGATGCAAAATATTTTTTTGGGTGAAACAAACAAGAAATAAGACAAAAAACAGAAAACTTGAGCGTGCATAACTATTCACCCCCCAAGGTCAATACTTTGTAGAGCCACCTTTTGCAGCAATTACAGCTGCAAGTCTCTTGGGGTATGTCTCTATAAGCTTGGCACATCTTGCCACTGGGATTGTTGCCCATTCTTCAAGGTGAAACTGCTCCAACTCCTTCAAGTTGGATGGGTTCTGCTGGTGTACAGCAATCTTTAAATCATACCACAGATTCTCAATTGGATTGAGGTCTGGGATTTGACTAGGCCATTCCAAGACATTTAAATGTTTCCCCTTAAACCACTCAAGTGTTGCTTTAGCAGTATGCTTAGGGTCATTGTCCTGCTGAAAAGTGAACCTCCGTCCCAGTCTCAAATCTCTGGAAGACTGAAACAGGTTTCCCTCAAGTATTTCCCTGTATTTAGCGCCATCCATCATTCCTTAAATTCTGACCAGTTTCCCAGTCCCTGCTGATGAAAAACATACCCACAGCATGATGCTGTCACCACCATGCTTCACTGTGGGGATGGTGTTCTCGGGGTGATGAGAGGTGTTGGGTTTGCGCCAGACATAACGTTTTCCTTGATGGCAAAAAAGTTTTAGTCTCATCTGACCAGAGTACCTTCTTCCATATGTTTGGGGAGTCTCAGACATGGCTTTTGGCGAACACTAAATGTGTTTGCTTATTTTTTTCTTTAAACAATGGCTTTTTCTGGCCACTCTTCCGTAAAGCCCAGCTCTGAGGAGAGTACGGCTTAAAGTGGTCCTATAGACAGATACTCCAATCTCCGCTGTGGAGCTTTGCAGCTCCTTCAGGGTTATCTTTGGTCTCTTTGTTGCCTCTCTGTTTAATGCCCTCCTTGCCTGGTCCATGAGTTTTGGTGGGCGGCACTCGTGTGGCAGGTTTGTTGTGATGCCATATTCTTTCAATTTTTTAATAATGGATTTAATGGTGCTCCGTGGGATGTTCAAAGTTTCGGATATTTTTTTATAACCCAACCCTGATCTGTACTTCTCCACAACTTTGTCCCTGACCTGTTTGGAGAGCTCCTTGGTCTTCATGGTTCCGCTTGCTTGGTGGTGCCCCTTGCTTAGTGGTGTTGCAGACTCTGGGGCCTTTCAGAACAGGTGTATATATACTGAGATCATGTGACAGATCATGTGACACTTAGATTGCACACAAGTGGACTTTATATAACTAATTACAGTGGGGGAAAAAAAGTATTTAGTCAGCCACCAATTGCGCAAGTTCTCCCACTTAAAAAGATGAGAGAGGCCTGTAATTTTCATCATAGGTACACGTCAACTATGACAGACAAAATGAGGAAAAAAAATCCAGAAAATCACATTGTAGGATTTTTAATGAATTTATTTGCAAATTATGGTGGAAAATAAGTATTTGGTCAATAACAAAAGTTTCTCAATACTTTGTTATATACCCTTTGTTGGCAATGACACAGGTCAAACGTTTTCTGTAAGTCTTCACAAGGTTTTCACACACTGTTGCTGGTATTTTGGCCCATTCCTCCATGCAGATCTCCTCTAGAGCAGTGATGTTTTGGGGCTGTCGCTGGGCAACACGGACTTTCAACTCCCTCCAAAGATTTTCTATGGGGTTGAGATCTGGAGACTGGCTAGGCCACTCCAGGACCTTGAAATGCTTCTTACGAAGCCACTCCTTCGTTGCCCGGGCGGTGTGTTTGGGATCATTGTCATGCTGAAAGACCCAGCCACGTTTCATCTGCAATGCCCTTGCTGATGGAAGGAGGTTTTCACTCAAAATCTCATGATACATGGCCCCATTCATTCTTTCCTTTACACGGATCAGTCGTCCTGGTCCCTTTGCAGAAAAACAGCCCCAAAGCATGATGTTTCCACCCCATGCTTCACAGTAGGTATGGTGTTCTTTGGATGCAACTCAGCATTCTTTGTCCTCCAAACACGACGAGTTGAGTTTTTACCAAAAAGTTATATTTTGGTTTCATCTGACCATATGACATTCTCCCAATCCTCTTCTGGATCATCCAAATGCACTCTAGCACGGGCCTGGACATGTACTGGCTTAAGCAGGGGGACACGTCTGGCACTGCAGGATTTAAGTCCCTGGCGGCGTAGTGTCTTACTGATGGTAGGCTTTGTTACTTTGTGTGGTGGATGCTACCTTGCATTCTGTCAAACCGTCTTGCCATCGCCACAACCAAGGCCTGGTTCAGGGACTTGTTTCTGAAGACCATGCCTCACAGTAAGTTTTTATATTATTAAATATGTTACACTTGTTTTCTCTACTTTTGAGTAAATGTGTAAACAATTCAAATTTAACTCAATGTTCTTTCTTTGTGTATAGGAGCCATTCGGAAGAACCCTGCAACCCAGGATGCTGCGGATGAGGGGGTCCAGATTCAGGTCACCCGTTACTTGAAAGGGGCTTCCGATTGTGAAGGCAGGAGGCGGGGGCACACAGGGGAGAGGGATCCGCTGCAGTGAGGTTCAACATCAAGTCTCGGTCCACCTGTCTCAAAGCCAGCCTCTACCCCCAAACCACAAGACTGATCCAACAGCTGAACCCTGGGCTGACTGCTGAACCCTACCACACACTTACCATTTATTCAACACTGAAATCACTTTTGTCTACCAGACCAACGCAATAGTCATATCATCATACTGCACCACAAATGTACAGTGAATTCAGAAAGTATTCAGACCCCTTGACTTTTTCCACATTTTATTAACGTTACAGCCTTATTCTAAAATTGATTAAATAGTTTTTTTCCTCATGAATCTACACACAATACCCATAATGACAAAGCAAAAACAGGTTTTTAGAAATGTTTGCAAATGTATTAAAAATAGAAAACTGAAATATCACATTTACATAAGTATTCAGACCCTTTATTCAGTAATCAAGTACCTTTGGCAGCGATTACAGCCTCGAGTCTTCTTGGGTATGACACTACAAGCTTGGCACACCTGTATTTTGGGAGTTTCTCAAATTCTTCTGTGCAGATCCTGTCAAGCTCTGTCAGGTTGGATGGGGAGCAATGCTGCACAGCTATTTTCAGATCTCTCAAGAGATCTCAGACTGTTAAACAGCCATCACTAGCACATTAGAGGCTGCTGCCTATAGATATAGACTATCTAAATCACTAAATCACTGGCCACTTTAAGAAATGGAACACTAGCCAGTTTAGTAATGTTTACATATATTGCATTGCTCATCTCATATGTACAGTGAGGGAAAAAAGTATTTGATCCCTAATTGCTCCTAATCTCAGTTTCTTACCTGTATAAAAGACACCTGTCCACAGAAGCAATCAATCAATCAGATTCCAAACTCTCCACCATGGCCAAGACCAAAGAGCTCTCCAAGGATGTCAGGGACAAGATTGTAGACCTACACAAGGCTGGAATGGGCTACAAGACCATCGCCAAGCAGCTGGTGAGAAGGTGACAACAGTTGGTGCGATTATTCGCAAATGGAAGAAACACAAAATAACTGTCAATCCCCCTCAGCCTGGGGCTCCATGTAAGATCTCACCTCGTGAAGTTGCAATGATCATGAGAACGGTGAGGGATCAGCCCAGAACTACACGGGAGGATCTTGTCAATGATCTCAAGGCAGCTGGGACCATAGTCACCAAGAAAACAATTGGTAACACACTACGCCATGAAGGACTGAAATCCTGCAGTGCCCGCAAGGTCCCTCTGCTCAAGAAAGCACATATACAGGCCCGCCTGAAGTTTGCCAATGAACATCTGAATGATTCAGAAGAGAACTGGGTGAAAGTGTTGTGGTCAGATGAGACCAAAATTGAGCTCTTTGGCATCAACTCAACTCGCCGTGTTTGGAGGAGGAGGAATGTTGTTGAGGGCTGTTAGTAAGCATTTCACTGTAATGTCTGCACCTGTTGTATTCGGCGCATGTGGCCAATACATTTTGATTTGATTTGATTTTAACTTCACTGCATCAAAGGGACGATGGACGGGGCCATGTACTGTCAAATCTTGGGTGAGAACCTCCTTCCCTCAGCCAGGTCATTGAAAATGGGTCGTGGATGGGTATTCCAGCATGACAATGACCCAAAACACACGGCCAAGGCAACAAAGAAGTGGCTCAAGAAGAAGCACATTAAGGTCCTGGAGTGGCCTAGCCAGTCTCCAGACCTTAATCCCATAGAAAATCTGTGGAGGGAGCTGAAGGTTCGAGTAGCCAAACGTCAGGCTCGAAACCTTAATGACTTGGAGAAGATCTTCAAAGAGGAGTGGGACAAAATCCCTCCTGAGATGTGTGCAAACCTGGTGGCCAACTACAAGAAACGTCTGACCTCTGTGATTGCCAACAAGGGTTTTGCCACCAAGTACTAAGTCATGTTTTGCAGAGGGGTCAAATACTTATTTCCCTCATTAAAATGCATCAATTTATAACATTTTTGTAATGCGTTTTTCTGGATTTTGTTGTTGTTATTCTGTCTCTCACTGTTCAGATATATAATTAAAAGTGTAGACTGATCATGTCTTTGTCAGTGGGCAAACGTACAAAATCAGCAGGGGATCAAATACTTTTTCCCTCACTGTATACTACCCACCATTGTGACCTGTACACGCTCGTTGGCTGGCCCTCACTACATATTAGTCGCCAAACCCACTGGCTCTAGGTCATCTATAAATCACTGCTAGGCAAATCCCCGCCTTATCTTAGCTCATTGGTCACCATAGCAACACCCATCCGTAGTATGCGCTCCAGCAGGTATATCTCACTGGTCATCCCCAAAGCCAACACCTCCTTTGGCCGCCATTCCTTCCAGTTCTCTGCTGCCAATGATTGGAACGAACTGCAAAAATCTCTGAAGCTGGAGACTCTTATCTCCCTCACTAACTTTAAACATCAGTTGTCAGAGCAGCTTACCGATCACTGCACCTGTACACAGCCCATCTGTAATTAGCCCACCCAATTACCTTTCCCCATATTGTTATTTATTTTGCTAATTTGCACCCCAGTATCTCTATTTGCACATCATCTTCTGCACATCTATCACTCCAGTGTTAATACTAAATTGTAATTATTTTGCACTATGGCCTATTTATTGCCTTACCTCCATAACTTACTACATTTGCACACACTGTATATAGATTTTCTATTGTGTTATTGACTGTACGTTTTGTTTATCCCATATGTAACTCTGTGTTGTTGTTGTTTTTATCGCACTGCTTTGCTTTATCTTATCGCAGTTGTAAATGAGAACTTGTTCTCAACTGGCTTACCTGGTTAAATAAAGGTGAAATAAAAAAATTATATAAAAAAATCGAGTCTCATAGCAAAGGGTTTGAATGCTTATGTAAATACGTTGCCAGGTAAACAACCTCTCCCTCAACATCAGCAAAACAAAAGTGCTGATTTTGGACTTCAGGAGGAACCAGGCTGGGCACGCCCCCATCCTCTTTAACAGGGCCGCTGTGGATACGGTCAAAAACGTCATAATAATAAATAATATGCCATTTAGCAGACGCTTTTATCCAAAGCGACTTACAGTCATGCGTGCATACATTTTTGTGTATGGGTGGTCCCGGGGATCGAACCCACTACCTTGGCGTTACAAGCGCCGTGCTCTACCAGCTGAGCTACAGAGGACCACATCATGTTTGTCAGCGTACACATCTCAGAGGAGCTGAAAGGGTAAAACCACACAGACACCTTGGTGAAGAAGGCATGACAGCAACTCTTCAACTAAAGAAATGTGGCCTGTCCCAGAGGGCCCTCACAGTGTTCTACAGGAACACCAATGAGAGCATACTGTCGGGCTGCATCACAACCTGGTACGTCAACTCCACTGCCGCTGACCCCCCCCCATGGACATTTACCCTGCCCCCACCCCACAACTGACATTTATCCTGCCCCCACCCCCCAACAGACATTTACCCCTCCCCAACTGACATTTACCCTGCCCCCACCCCACAACTGACATTTACCCTGCCCCCACCCCCACCCCCCAACGGACATTTACCCACCACCCCAACTGACATTTACCCTGCAACCCCACCCCCACCCCAACGGACATTTACCCTGCCCTTCCCCCACCCCCCAATGGACATGTACCCTGCCCCCACCCCCCAATGGACATTTATCATTGTTACAATTGTAAATATGTACAGTGGGGAGAACAAGTATTTGATACACTGCCGATTTTGCAGGTTTTCCTACTTACAAAGCATGTAGAGGTCTGTAATTTTTATCATAGGTACACTTCAACTGTCAGAAACGGAATCTAAAACAAAAATCCAGAAAATCACATTGTATGATTTTTAAGTAATTAATTTGCATTTTATTGCATGACATAAGTATTTGATACATCAGAAAAGCAGAACTTAATATTTGGTACAGAAACCTTTGTTTGCAATTACAGAGATCATACGTTTCCTGTAGGTCTTGACCAGGTTTGAACACACTGCAGCAGGGATTTTGGCCCACTCCTCCATACAGACATTCTCCAGATCCTTCAAGTTTCGGGGCTGTCGCTGGGCAATACGGACTTTCAGCTCCCTTCAAAGATTTTCTATTGGGTTCAGGTCTGGAGACTGGCTAGGCCACTCCAGGACCTTGAGATGCTTCTTACAGAGCCACTCCTTAGTTGCCCTGGCTGTGTGTTTCGGGTCGTTGTCATGCTGGAAGACCCAGCCACGACCCATCTTCAATGCTCTTACTGAGGGAAGGAGGTTGTTGGCCAAGATCTCGTGATAAATGGCCCCATCCATCCTCCCCTCAATACGGTGCAGTCGTCCTGTCCCCTTTGCAGAAAAGCATCCCCAAAGAATGATCTTTCCACCTCTATGCTTCACGGTTGGGATGGTGTTCTTGGGGTTGTACTCATCCTTCTTCTTCCTCCAAACACGGCGAGTGGAGTTTAGACCAAAAAGCTCTATTTTTGTCTCATCAGACCACATTACCTTCTCCCATTCCTCCTCTGGATCATCCAGATGGTCATTGGCAAACTTCAGACGGGCCTGGACATGTGCTGGCTTGAGCAGGGGGACCTTGCGTGCGCTGCAGGATTTTAATCCATGACGGCGTAGTGTGTTACTAATGGTTTTCTTTGAGACTGTGGTCCCAGCTCTCTTCAGGTCATTGACCAAGTCCTGCCGTGTAGTTCTGGGCTGATCCCTCACCTTTCTCATGATCATTGATGCCCCACGAGGTGAGATCTTGCATGGAGCCCCAAACCGAGGATGATTGACCGTCATCTTGAACTTCTTCCATTTTCTAATAATTGCGCCAACAGTTGCTGCCTTCTCACCAAGCTGCTTGCCTATTGTCCTGTAGCCAATCCCAGCCTTGTGCAGGTCTACAATTTTATCCCTGATGTCCTTACACAGCTCTCTGGTCTTGGCCATTGTGGAGAGGTTGGAGTCTGTTTGATTGAGTGTGTGGACAGGTGTCTTTTATACAGGTAATGAGTTCAAACAGGTGCAGTTAATACAGGTAATGAGTGGAGAACAGGAGGGCTTCTTAAAGAAAAACTAACAGGTCTGTGAGAGCCGGAATTCTTACTGGTTGGTAGGTGATCAAATACTTATGTCATGCAATAAAATGCAAATTAATTACTTAAAAATCATACAATGTGATTTTCTGGATTTGTTTTTTAGATTCCGTCTCTCGCAGTTGAAGTGTACCTATGATAAAAATTACAGACCTCTACATGCTTTGTAAGTAGGAAAAGCTGCAAAATCGGCAGTGTATCAAATACTTGTTCTCCCCACTGTATATATATTATTATTTGTATTATTGTTTCATTCACTTCTCTTTTTGAGCTGCATTGCACTGGCTTGACGCAGAAAAAGCGTCTTGTCTCTGACTGGCAGCTGTAGTGTCACCGGTCGGGAGAAGGGTGAGTGGACTGTGTGTGGAAAACGGCACGTTAGTTCTGAGCTAAAGTTCGAATCATAATTTGATTATTTTTAGGCCTACATTGTATTTTTTTCTCCATTCTGTCCAGTTGGTTTCACATTGCCAAATGTCCAATGAAATAAAATGCCTAAACAAATCCACGTGTTTATGCAAGACATTCATTTATTGGAGAGAAATGCTCAATGTTAAATCCATCTACGATTATCAAGAAGCATAACTTGTGTATGCCAAATGTTATATTACATTAACTTAATTTTGTCTTCCAACAACATGCAGGAGGAAACCGCGCAATAGCCCCTCTAAATGCAACGTGAATAAGCTTGATAGGCTATAGCCCCGTCTCCCCTAATCTGCATCAGATGCACTCATACACTGACTGTACAAAACATTAGGAACACCTGCTCTTTCCATGACAGACTGACCAGGTGAATCCAGGTGAAAGCTATGATCCCTTATTGATGTCACTTGTTAAAACTACTTCAATCAGTGTAGATGGGGAGAAGACAGGTTAAAGAAGGATTTTTATGCCTTGAGACAATTGAGACATGGATTGTGTATGTGTGCCATTCAGAAGGTGAATGGGCAAGACAAAAGATTTAAGTGCCTTTGAACGGGGTATGGTAGTAGGTGCCTGGTGCACCGGTTTGTGTCAAGAACTGCAACACTGCTGGGATTTTCACAATCAACAGTTTCCCATCTGTATCAAGAATGGTCCACCACCCAAAGGACATCCAGCCAACTTGGCACAACTGAGGGAAGCATTGGAGTCAACATGGGCCAGCTTGCCTGTCGAACGCTTCGACATCTTGTAGAGTCCATGCCCCGACGAATTGAGGTGTTCTTAATGTTTTGTACACTCAGTGTAAATGTGCTGCTACTCACAGAATGTTTCAGAGTTATGGTAGGCTACTGCGTGCATTTCACAAATAATAGGCCTGCAGCGCCTCTGGGTCTTTTTCTCTGTTTGGTCTGGACTGCTTTCACACCTGCAACTAACCGCACCATGATATGAATGGAATCGGACCACCCTTTTTGAGCGAACCACGGTGCGCTGTTTAGTGCGCTCCGAGTGTGGATAGTGTTCACACCAGTCCAAAGGAAACAAACTAAGGGGGAAACGTGCCAGAGTTCGGAAAAAACGCTACGAAGCGATTTGGTATGAAAGCCCCCTGAGGGGGTAAACGCACCAGAGTTTGGAAAAACCGTTCAAAACCATTTCGGTGAAAACACCCTTAGTGTAAGAGCCAAGAAAGCCATGCTGGTTTCAGAACTGACCAAAATGTCTCTATGGTTTGGAACTGGAGCCAAAACCCCAAACAGTTACCATAACAACCCAGCAACTACACCCAAACGGTTACCATAGCAACAAATACACACTCTATTCTCTCTGTCCCTCTGTCTTTCTCTCTTTATCCATCTGTCTATTCAATATGTACAGTGGGGGAAAACAAGTATTTAGTCAGCCACCAATTGTGCAAGTTCTCCCACTTAAAAAGATGAGAGAGGCCTGTAATTTTCATCATAGGTAAACGTCAACGATGACAGACAAATTGAGATTTTTTTTTCCAGAAAATCACATTGTAGGATTTTTTATGAATTTATTTGCAAATTATGGTGGAAAATGAGTATTTGGTCACCTACAAACAAGCAAGATTTCTGGCTCTCACAGACCTGTAACTTCTTCTTTAAGAGGCTCCTCTGTCCTCCACTCGTTACCTGTATTAATGGCACCTGTTTGAACTTGTTATCAGTATAAAAGACACCTGTCCACAACCTCAAACAGTCACACTCCAAACTCCACTATGGCCAAGACCAAAGAGCTGTCAAAGGACACCAGAAACAAAATTGTAGACCTGCACCAGGCTGGGAAGACTGAATCTGCAATAGGTAAGCAGCTTGGTTTGAAGAAATCAACTGTGGGAGCAATTATTAGGAAATGGAAGACATACAAGACCACTGATAATCTCCCTCGATCTGGGGCTCCACGCAAGATCTCACCCCGTGGGGTCACAAGAACTGATCACAAGAACGGTGAGCAAAAATCCCAGAACCACACGGGGGGACCTAGTGAATGACCTGCAGAGAGCTGGGACCAAAGCAACAAAGCCTACCATCAGTAACACACTACGCCGCCAGGGACTCAAATCCTGCAGTGCCAGACGTGTCCCCCTGCTTAAACTCGTCGTGTTTGGAGGACAAAGAATACTGAGTTGCATCCAAAGAACACCATACCTACTGTGAAGCATGGGGGTGGAAACGTCATGCTTTGGGGCTGTTTTTCTGCAAAGGGACCAGGACGACTGATCCGTGTAAAGGAAAGAATGAATGGGGCCATGTATCGTGAGATTTTGAGTGAAAACCTCCTTCCATCAGCAAGGGCATTGAAGATGAAACGTGGCTGGGTCTTTCAGCATGACAATGATCCCAAACACACCGCCCGGGAAACGAAGGAGTGGCTTCGTAAGAAGCATTTCAAGGTCCTGGAGTGGCCTAGCCAGTCTCCAGATCTCAACCCCATAGAAAATCTTTGGAGGGAGTTGAAAGTCTGCGTTGATTTTTTTTCTCATTTTGTCTGTCATATTTGACGTGTACCTATGATGAAAATTACAGGCCTCTCTCATCTTTTTATGTGGGAGAACTTGCACAATTGGTGGCTGACTAAATACTTTTTTCCCCCCACTGTATATTAATGCATACGTGTAGGCTATGTCTGTATGCCAGTCATGGTGGTCTCCCTCTATCCTTCCAGAAAGTGCTCTGTTAAAGCACTCTGCTCTGTGGCCTGTCTGAGCCTTACTGCCTTGTGTTTGATGTCTCCTTTTAATGACAGTCCTCTTTATTATGATCAGACAGCAGGGCACACACACACACAGTGACAGCTATTTGCGTTAAGGCTGTGATATAGTCCTGGACATTAGTGTTGACTTGTGTTTTAAAGTCCAGACACCCTTAGACATTACTCAGGTGATACACCACTACTGATTATGTATGTGTCCCGGTTATAGAAGGGGGGGTGGGGGGAGTGAGAAAGAGAGAAAGATAGGAGTGAGGGAGAGAGAGAGCGAGAGCGAGGGAGAGAGTGAGAATAATAGCACTTACATTGACATTTATCACAGGCGTCGTACAGCTAACTAAATGACCATCAGCCATTACATTTTCTAGGAGCTCTACAGTGTGTCTACAATGGCCTTCTGTCAGCAAGCTGCTTGGATTAAGTTTATTTAAAAAAGAAAGAAGAATGAAAGAGTGATAGTCAGAGAAAGAAACTGATTGAACTTGTATGTTTTTGTTGTACAAGAGAGCAAAGTGGAGGTAGAGGGAGGTGGAGGCAGATAAGAGTGGTGAGAGTGAGATGGGGGAGGGAGAAAGGGGTGAGAGTGCCAGGCAATCAGGGAGGGAGAGAGAGTCTGGAAAGCATCAGAGCTGTGTGTGTGTGTGGTTTTCCTCCCTGGTCTCTGGCTTGTTAATCTGTGGGTCACTGGCAGCCTCAGGTGATGAAGCAACAAGCTCTCAAAGTCTCACTGCAGAATTAGACGTTCATCCACATTCTCCAAATGCCACATTTTGAAGTTGCTTCAAACGTCAACTTTTGAGGTGTTTTTGTTACTCCTGCTGCTCTGTATCGTTCCATTTCTCCAAACGTTAAATTTTGAGGGTTAAGTTTAGGCACTCAATCCAAATGGTTAAGGTAAGGGTAAGGTTTAGGATAGGGTTCAAATAAAATATTTTTAAAACCGTTTCCACTACTGAAGTCAATGCCTGGCACAACATGGGAATAACAACCTCCTACACACACATACACACATACAGGCACACACCCACACGCACACGCACACACACACACTGCTCCCCCAGCCAGAACTTCTACAATTTGCCCTCTTTCCCACGTTTGAGCAGCAGCTGAGATTGTAGTAAACACACTTCCACACACACACACACCCTCACCATGCTTGATGATTGAGTAACAATAACACAGAGAATACACTGGAAATAGACTTCATGTTGTGACAATCAGCATTGGATATGGATCAGGTGTGCGTGTGCGAGTGTGTTACTAGCAGCTGCTGGTGGTGTATTAGTTGCCCAGTGTGACATGCCCAGGAGAAGGGCTATAGAACACACACATCTGCTGCTGTTGATTGGGGTGGTGGTGTCGTTGGGGCTGGGAATGTGGGTCTTGCCTGTATTGCAGCTCCACTGCTGTGTGTGAGTCTACCTGCTCAGTGACATAAACGAACTGCTATGAACTAAACGTAATTAATCTCATTAAAGGGAAGATTGTTCCAAGCTTGTTTGACGACCTTTCACTTGAACCTTGGGGTGTACCAATGACTGTTGCCTCAGTGAATCAGCTGTAGCAGCATTGCCATCTAGAGGATACACCATGTAAGGACCATCTTACTGTCCATACCACAGCACAGATCAGTCTGACTTTGGTCATACAAATACACTCCATGCATCTACCGGTACTTGGGACTATTGTAACGGTGTGCACTAAACCAAAGCATACAGTTTTGCACTTCAAATGTGGGTATAAGACAGAGGTTAGTGGGGTAGAACTATGGAAGAATGCCATGCTCTCTGATTCGCAGTGTCCTGGAAGCAGAAAGGGTCAGGGGCATGGGGCGTAGTCGAAATCTTCAAAGACATTCCAGACACATTCTATCTTTCTTCACACAAAGGGAGTCCCCTCTTTGTCCTTGGTAGCAAGCGTCCTCTGTGTGTGCGTACGTGGGTGTCCATGTGTTCAAACCTTGAGGTCCTTTACAGTGGTATATGATCCCCAGCTATGTGGGTTGAATACCTGTGTTAGGTAACACACACCATGGTCTAGTTAAAACACTTGAACAGGTTCACATGTCAATTATTAACTAGAGTTCCTCTCAAGCAACACTGAAAGCTAGTTTCCCTGTCCCAGACAAAGTATTTTCCTAGACTTAGAAGAATTTCAATGGATATTCTCCATTGGCCTTAATCCGGGTGCAGGAAACAAATTAAAACCAGTCATTGAGTTCTAAACTATGTTTTTAGTACTATTACAATTTTACATCTCAAACTAAACTCTGAGCCAAATGCACTTGTATGAAATGAGACTCCTTCACTCATGTGGCATCATGCAAATTGTTTACAGGGGTGGACTCCCATATTAAATGTGTAAAGTTTTAAAAATACATTTAGCTAGTTGTGTTAGACATTTTATAAAGGTATAAGTAGCATATGGCTTTTAAATATGTGCATGCTCTTCTCCTCCAAGTAAACAACAGCCGATTCAAAGGAGGTGTGGCATATGTCAAAACTGATCTGCAATGGACTCGGGGCATTTGCTTCCTCAGTGGGAGGAGGCGAGGACACTACTGCGTTTGCCTACTAACTAATTGATACTCTCCTTGACCACTCGACCACTTATCGGTTTCCGGGTCACGGAGGAGAGAGGATGGAGGAGTCGAGGAGAGGACGGTATTTTAATCAAATGAGAATCTCCCCATGGCGCTGAAGTCCTTTACATTACTGTGGAAGTACTGCCATCTGCTGGTAAAACAGAGTAAAGCATTGGATGGTTTCAGCACAGTGTCTGTCAACAACAGCTCTAGAGCAGTGTTTCCCTACCTTTTGGGGTGCTTGAAACCACCTAAAGCTTCTGGGGCCTCATTTATCAATATTGCGTACAAAAAGCTACGTAAAACTAAAAACTCAGACTTAAATAGAGGTGCTAGTGTCAGAGATTGAGTACAACCAAATGGTTTTATTTGGCTCGCTCAGTTGTGGCTTGACCAATAAAAATAAAAACATATCTACAAAGAGAGGACCATTAGGACAATTAAGTTCCTTTAGCAATGGCAAATATACCTCACGAGTAGACAACACTCATCAATAAGCCATCCATCCTCACCTCCCAACATTGATGTTCTGCAGAATGAACGACTCATGCGTTCCAGCTGACCACCTTGCCACCACATTCAGCAGCGTCTTCTGCGCATCACAAAAACCAATCACCTGCCCATAAAGAGTGGAAGCCTTTTCTGTTCACATAATTGAAATTGTTTTGGGATGATGATTTTATGGCGATGTGGGTGCCGTCTATTGCTCCATTCGTATTTGGGAACCCATTGATGGCATCATGGCAAAGAAACCCATCTTGACCTGTTGTGTTATGGTGTATGGAAATGGTATGTGTTACTGTGCATTTTGCTGATGATTGCATCCAAAACTTTGGCTCATCGAGGGCTGTGAGATGCCAAATCAGCAAGCTCTTGCTGAAAAGTGGCAGTTGCCAATTCCGAGGGTGGATAGACATTTTAGCAGACGCTCTTATCCAGAGCTACTTACAGTAGTGAGTGCATACATTTTCAAATTTGTTCGTACTGGTCCCCTGTGGGAATCGAACCCACAACCCTGGCGTTGCAAGTGCCATGCTCTACCAACTGAGCCGCACAGGAAAGCACTTAGATATGCAGCGGAATGGCATGAGTTTGCCTTTTTAAAGTAGGTCTTAAATCCTCGCAAAAATCCTATAAGATCGTTTTTTTGGAAACTATATCTGATGAGCCAATCTATACTTTCTGCAGAAAAAGCCCCATCTGTCTCTAAAAACGTGCTCTCAGCGAAATGCAGCGTGTGCCAAATCAGAGCAATCTCTCATTACCTTTCCCATTCTCAGTCTTATAAAGTATTTCAACAGTGGTAACTTTCACACGTACCTCTCATCTAACACATTACTGTCCTTTATATGGATTGTTATTGTAACAAATGCAATGATGTGGTCGAATTATAAAGCATGTTAAGATATGTTGCATGAATTCACAATGGAAATACAATGAAATCGAAAAAGGATTTAATTATTACTCACAATTTCAACATATATTTTCCCCATTCTATGCTTGACAAGCAGTTCCCTTATTCCATCACTTGGCACTGTGCAAATGCATGGCCAGTTGTGGAAAAAGTACCCAATTTCCATACTTGAGTAAAAGTAAAGATACCTTAATAGAAAATGACTCAAGTAAAAGTCACCCAGTAAAATACTACTTGAGTAAAAGTCCAAAAGTATTTGTTTTTAAATATACTTAAGTATCAAAAGTAAAAGTCATTTCAAATTCCTTTGGCATGATTTTTAATTTACGGATAGCCAGCGGCACACTCCAACACAGACATAATTTACAAACGAAGCATTTGTGTTTAGTGAGTCCGCCAGATCAGAGGCGATAGGGATGTTCTCTTGATAATTGTGTGAATTGGACCATTTTCCTGTCCTGCTAAGCATTCAAAATGTAACGAGTACTTCTGGGTGTCAGGGAAAATGTATGGAGTAAAAAGTACATTATTTTCTTTAAGAATTTAGTGGAGTAAAAGTTGTCAAAAATATAATTAGTAAAGTAAAGTACAGATACCCCCAAAAACTACTTAAGTAGTACTTTAAAGTATTTTTACTTACGTACTTTACACCACTGTGCATGGCTATGCATAAATGTATGCACACTCAAGCGAACATTCATATTGATAAATCTCACTTTGGGTGGGAATGATCCCACGCATGGTTTATGCACAGACTTGAGTTTACATACAGTTGATAAATGAGGCCCCTGGCCTTCTGTGACTCAAGTACTAAACCAAACACTTGTTAACTGGCTTTCCATTATTCTCTAAGGCCTCAGCTCTATCTAATCACACAGAATCATTACAGGAGGTAATTCAGGGTAATTACCTCCTGTTTGTATACTGGTCAAATGGATCCTTTCCATCCGTGAGGTCAACACTGATCTATAGGAGATTAGATGTGATCTGTGCAAGTTTTTAAAACTCAAAACAATTCAAGTGAAAGCAAAGTTACCATTCAGTTACTGGAAGGATGCATTTTCTAAGTATTGAAGCAGAGCTATATTCTACCCAGTTAAACATGGCATGGATTTCTAGCTTCATATCATAACCACCAAAAAACACACACCCACAGTGGTTGCTCCAAAAGTGTGTTTATTGGGGTAGTAACACTACAATGATAAGTTCATTTCAAAGCCTTGCTCCACAGAAGACATGACTATGAATGGATTAATGGATACTTAGTGAAGACGTACAGTGGGGAAAAAAAGTATTTAGTCAGCCACCAATTGTGCAAGTTCTCCCACTTAAAAAGATGAGAGAGGCCTGTAATTTTCATCATAGGTACAAGTCAACTATGACAGACAAAATGAGAAAAATAAATCCAGAAAATCACATTGTAGGATTTTTAATGAATTTATTTGCAAATTATGGTGAAAAATAAGTATTTGGTCAATAACAAAAGTTTCTCAATACTTTGTTATATACCCTTTGTTGGCAATGACACAGGTCAAACGTTTTCAGTAAGTCTTCACAAGGTTTTCACACACTGTTGCTGGTATTTTGGCCCATTCCTCCATGCAGATCTCCTCTAGAGCAGTGATGTTTTGGGGCTGTCGCTGGGCAACACGGACTTTCAACTCCCTCCAAAGATTTTCAATGGGGTTGAGATCTGGAGACTGGCTAGGCCACTCCAGGACCTTGAAAATTCTTCTTACGAAGCCACTCCTTCGTTGCCCGGGCGGTGTGTTTGGGATCATTGTCATGCTGAAAGACCCAGCCACGTTTCATCTTCAATGCCCTTGCTGATGGAAGGAGGTTTTCACTCAAAATCTCACGATACATGGCCCCATTCATTCTTTCCTTTACACGGATCAGTCGTCCTGGTCCCTTTGCAGAAAAACAGCCCCAAAGCATGATGTTTCCACCCCCATGCTTCACAGTAGGTATGGTGTTCTTTGGATGCAACTCAGCATTCTTTGTCCTCCAAACACAACGAGTTGAGTTTTTACCAAAAAGTTATATTTTGGTTTCATCTGACATTCTCCCAATCCTCTTCTGGATCATCCAAATGTACTCTAGCAAACTTCAGATGGGCCTGGACATGTACTGGCTTAAGCAGGGAGACACGTCTGGCACTGCAGGATTTGAGTCCCTGGCGGCGTAGTGTGTTACCGATGGTAGGCTTTGTTACTTTGGTCCCAGCTCTCTGCAGGTCATTCACTAGGTCCCCCTGTGTGGTTCTGGGATTTTTGCTCACCGTTCTTGTGATCAGTTCTTGTGACCCCACGGGGTGAGATCTTGCGTGGAGCCCCAGATCGAGGGAGATTATCAGTGGTCTTGTATGTCTTCCATTTCCTAATAATTGCTCCCACAGTTTATTTCTTCAAACCAAGCTGCTTACCTATTGCAGATTCAGTCTTCCCAGCCTGGTGCAGGTCTACAATGTTGTTTCTGGTGTCCTTTGACAGCTCTTTGGTCTTGGCCATAGTGGAGTTTGGAGTGTGACTGTTTGAGGTTGTGGACAGGTGTCTTTTATACTGATAACAAGTTCAAACAGGTGCCATTAATACAGGTAACGAGTGGAGGACAGGGGAGCCTCTTAAAGAAGAAGTTACAGGTCTGTGAGAGCCAGAAATCTTGCTTGTTTGTAGGTGACCAAATACTTATTTTCCACCATAATTTGCAAATAAATTCATAAAAAATCCTACAATGTGATTTTCTGGATTTTTTTTTCTGTCATAGTTGACGTGTATCTATGATGAAAATTACAGGCCTCTCTCATCTTTTTAAGTGGGAGAACTTGCACAATTGGTGGCTGACTAAATACTTTTTTTCCCCACTGTAAGTAGTGAGATGCACTGATTAAAGTATCTAAACCAACAAGACTGTCAACTCTTAAAGAGATGATTGGTTACGCTATGATAGGACTACTAGAGGTGGATACTATGGCAGTGGGCCTATCTGGGCTTTGTGTTGTGTCCAGGATGACTATGTGGCGCCCACCTGAGGCTCAGAGCTGTGTGTAGCGGAGGTATTTTTTCCCAGAAGGCAGCTCTTTGGTGGTGACGCCATTGGGGAAAAGTTCAGCGGCCTCGGCATCAGAGAGAGAGGGAATAACCATACACTTCTGACCAGGCTGAGAGAGAGCGAGGGAGAGAAAGAGAGAAATATTAAGTTAAAAAACAATATGGCACCTATAAAGTCTCCACTCTCTCCAAATTCTAAGTTAGTCAGACGTTTTCAAAGTGTTCTAATATCGAGATGTGAGTAACTTTCAATCAACAGGGGGGTGTGTGTGTACCTTCCAGTCGACAGGTGTGGCCACCTTCTTGAGAGCGGTGAGCTGCAGAGAGTCGATGACACGGAGCAGCTCGTCAAAGTTCCTTCCAGTGGTGGCAGGGTACAAGATCGAAAGCTTCATCTTCTTATCTGGACCAATCACAAACACCTGGTGGAGGGACCAAAGGGGAGGGGTCATATAAACAAACACCAATTTGATCTTCATTTTCTTCGGCAAAAATGTTGTCGTTTACATCTCATGGATGTGTCTGTGACCTAATACTCACACAGCGTGCGGTGAGGGGCATGCCATCCTTGTCGAGCTCATCAGGGTCCAGCATGCCCAGCTGAACTGACAGCTCCCTCTTATCATCAGCGATGATGGGGAAGGGCAGGGGAGAGCCCGCACTCTCACTGTTAAACGCCATCACATCCTACAGAGGGAGAGAGGTTAGAGGTCAGCGATAATCAGGAAGGGCAGGGGTCTGTATCACCTTTACTGGCTGTCATTTTGATCATTGACGTCTTTACAGACTTCAGTAATTAGAAGAGTAAAAGTGTCATTTCTTTGCTCAATAACTCACTCTACTGTTATCATGATGTGAACTACAAACAGCAGAACCTGTGACTGTATGTAGTATAACCTACAGTACTGAGAACTATAACTCTGATCTGAGTCACTCAGCTCTTTCACAGACACATCAACATCAGGGTGACTGGATTGGAACAGGTTGTGGCCAGAGTGAATGCTATTATAAATGGGGGCCATTAGTCTGGACAGTTACAATTTAAGTCGGAAGTTTACATACACTTAGGTTGGAGTCATTAAAACTCATTTTTCAACCACTCCACAAATTTCTTGTTAACAAACTATAGTTTTGACAAGTCGGTTAGGACATCTACTTTGTGCATGACACAAGTAATTTTTCCAACAATTCTTTACAGACAGAATATTTCACTTATAATTCACTGTATCACAATTCCAGTGGGTCAGAAGTTCACATACACTAAGTTGACTGTGACTTTAAATAGCTTGGAAAATTCCAGAAAATGATGTCATGGCTTTAGAAGCTTGTGATAGGCTAATTGACATAATTTGAGTCAATTGGAGGTGAACCTGTGGATGTATTTCAAGGCCTACCTTCAAACTCAGTGCCTTTGCTTGACATCATGGGTAAAATCAAAAGAAAATCAGCCAAGACTTCAGAAATAAATTGTAGACCTCCACAAGTCTGGTTAATCCTTGGGAGCAATTTCCAAATGCCTGAAGGTACCACGTTCATCTGTACAAACAATAGTACGCAAGTATAAACACCATGGGACCACGCAGCCGTCATACCGCTCAGGAAGGAGACGTGTTCTGTCTCCTAGAGATTAATGTACTTTGGTGCGAAAAGTGCAAATCAATCCCAGAACAACAGCAAAGGACCTTGTGAAGATGCTGGAGGAAACAGGTACAAAAGTTTCTATATCCACAGTAAAACGAGTCCTATATCGACCTAACCTGAAAGGCCGCTCAGCAAGGAAGAAGCCACTGCTCCAAAACCGCCATAAAAAAGACAGACTACGGTTTGCAACTGCACATGGGGACAAAGATCTTACTTTTTGGAGAAATGTCCTCTGGTCTGATGAAACAAATATAGAACTGTTTGGCCATAATAACCATCGTTATGTTTGGAGAAAAAAGGGGGACCCTTGCAAGCCGAAGAACACCGAAAAAAACCGTGAAGCACGGGGGTGGCAGCATCATGCTGTGGGGGTGCTTTGCTGCAAGAGGGACTGGTGCACTTCACAAAATAGATGGCATCATGAGGAAGGAAAATGATGTTGAAGCAACATCTCAAGACATCAGTCAGGAAGTTAAAGCTTGGTCGCAAATGGGTCTTCCAAATGGACAATGACCCCAAGCATACTTCCAAAGTTGTGGCAAAATGGCTTAAGGACAACAAAGTCAAGGTATTGGAGTGGCCATCACAAAGCCCTGACCTCAATCCTATAGAAAATGTGTGGGCAGAACTGAAAAGGTGTGTGCAAGCAAGGAGGCCTACAAACCTGACTCAGTTACGCCAGCTCTGTCAGGAGGAATAGGCCAAAATTCACCCAACTTATTGTGCGAAACGTTTGACCCAAGTTAAACAATTTAAAGGCAATGCTACCAAATACTAATTGAGTGTATGTAAACTTCTGATGTGATGAAAGAAATAAAAGCTCTACTATTATTCTGACATTTCACATTCTTAAAATAAAGTGGTGATCCTAACTGACCTAAGACATGGAGGTTTTACAAAGATTAAATGTCAGGAATTGTGAAAAACTGAGTTTAAATGTATTGTGTATGTGTATGGTGTATGTAAACTTCCGACTTCAACTGTACATGTTTACAGTTGTAGAGGTGTTAAAATGGTGGAGATAGTTGCAGTGTTCACAGCAGCAGTATTAATATCTTGTGGAAAGATTCTGTGTGTAAACTGAGAGAATCTGTTGGGATTGAATGGATTCATAAGATAAGAGCAGCAGTAGTTCCGGTGTTTGGGTTTTTCGTCACTGGTTATTTGGACAAATCCCGATTTCGCAGGTGTTAGCACATTCGGCTCATAACTTGCAAAGAGCGAGGGTTTTAGCTCCTCGTTCCAGTTCCGCTTCTTTTTCTATCATTTCTTGATCTCTTCTCTTAACGTGGATGGACCCAGAACTTAATCGAGCAGTTGACCAATTACTTGAGACTTTAGTTCTGAGTTAACCGAGATTACAGAAGTATAAACTGCAGTGTAATGGCTGGTCTGGTCTAATCAAAAACTGGACATCAGACAAAAATAATACTCCTCACTGTGGGAAGGAAGGCTGCCATTAGTCATACAGGTTCAGCCAGAGGTGGTTGTGTGTGTGTGTGTGTGTGTGTAGGGAGAGGGGGTGGGAAAACTTGATTCAGTGAACTTCAAAAAGGTTAACTTTTCATTGAAAAAACTTGTTGAGAACTTTGGAGGACGGGGGAGGTGCTTCTGTAACCTAGCAATCTAGCCATCTGTCCAATCACCAATGCCACAGTATAAGATTTGAGAACTTGGCAGTCCAGAGGAACTCGTTCCCCTGTTGGACCAAAGAAAGGCCTTTAAGGGAGGAGGTAAAACGTTCAGGCCCTTGCAGATAGAAATGTAATGAAAAGCTAACACTATTCCCTGTTATACTTGACAGACAAACATATCTGTTCTACACAATATATTTCTGTAGAGAAATGGCCATCTGTGAATGCAGTTGAGATGGAGTGTAACAGCTGTGCTGACTAAAGCAGTCTCAGGGGGATTACACAGGGTGTGTATGCATGCAATATTAATTTAGACATGGCTGACAGTGTTTAGATATGGTAGTACATCTGTGTGAGAGAGGCCGTCCATATTGTAGTTATGCAATGTACGGGAATGTGCTCTCTACATTTTAACCACTTAGGCAATGGATGCAGAGAAAGGGGTAGACAGACCTTGCTCCAGGCGAGGTGGTCCGCCACGCTGTCGATGGACAGAGCAATCATCTTGACGTGGCGTTTCTTGAACTCATCGCTGATCTTGGCAGCACAGGCCAGCTCTGTGGTACACACTGGAGTAAAGTCCCGGGGGTGGGAGAACAGGATCCCCCATCTGGAGGAGAGGAGAGAGGGAGGGAGGAGAGTAAGTATATGCAGAGGAAAACATTAGGCTAGACCACGACTGCCCAACCCTGTTGGTGGTTTTCGCTCCAACCCCAGGTGTTCCTAACCTGATTAATCTTATCAACCTGCTAATTATTAGAATCAGGTGTGCTAGATTAGGATTGGAGCAAAAACCTACAGGACAGTAGCTCTCCAGGAACAGGGTTGGGCAGTCCTGGGTTAGACAGTGTGTGTGAGTTTTATTTAATCCATTCACTTTTACTAAATGAGAGGCAGAGTGTGACCATCTGACTATGTGAGGGAAGGTGGAAGGAAAGACTGAAAATCAGGTGACTAGTCTCTGGAATGTGTGGTTCACCAATGATGCAACAATGTATGTGAGACTGTGTGAAGAAAATAACAGGAAAACTAGAGTGCTTTGTAGAACCACACCTTTTTAGCGTCATATTACATCCAAATAATAGAGACGGGGTCATTGAATATAAAAGCAAGCCCTCTAAACATTGCTCTCCTCCTTTCCCACACCACTCATTGTGTCAGACTGGGACAGTATGGTTAGAATTATTTTTCAAAGTAGCGTAACAGGTGGTCTTCTGTAGGACAATACAGGTCAAGACAGTAATTGTGAATGGTTTTTACTGAAGTACCACAATAATTTGCACATCATTCTGTATTATAGCAATAGTCTATAAGAAAACATTTAAACTGTTGCACTAGAAACAGAGCTGTACAACCACCAGTGTTTGAATGGGGGACTGTTAGGGTGTTGCAATAACAGAATAATCTCTGGCCAATCATGTACTGAGTGCCAAAACATCCAAATGAGAGGCTTTTAGCTACAGAGTAAAATAAATAACTACCCAAACAAACACAGTGAAACATTTTATCTTGAGATTTGTATAAGTTTCAAGTCATCTTCTTTCCTCTACCACCCCTCCTCTCTCCCATCCCTCCATATTGGACCCCAGCAATGGCAGTAGAAAAACTAAATGAATTTGCTCTGTTCAGTAGAAACCTAAATCCCCTAGAGGGGGTGTTGAACCGGTCTCTAGTTCTGCACAATCATTTAACCCTGCGGCAGGAAATGCTTGAGTCCACCCCCCCCTCCGGCTGCACCACACACGGCTGTGCAAAGCCAAAGTTATTCAATATAATAATTTATGTGTGTGTGAAAGAGCACCCCAAATCTACCATGTTGGAGGGTCCTTCCCCCGTGCCAACCCTTATCCCTACCCTGACCCCTTTATATTCTTCTATTATTTAACTTTCCATGGCTACTGGAAAAAAAGCAGGGCCCATGTTAATGATTGAGCTATAAAAACACTGGAATATATTAGGTATAATTCTGCTGTGTTTGGTCAACTTTTGATAGCACTGCTCCCTCTCCACTTTGGAAGGAGTTTGTTCATGCTTATGTAACGGCCAAACCTTTGACCAAGCCGACTGTGTGTGTGCACGTGCGTGTACGCATGAGTGAGATGTAAAAGCTGCTGCCTTTGCTCATCTATTGATCCTTTGATCAGCAGACACAAAGCCAAAAGCGAATGGGAGCGCTGACACACAACAATGGCAGCCTTGTCTGCTCAGTCACAAACTCACTGCAAGCTAGTTTAAGTTGTGTTCATCTAAACAATTGCGCCTACAAATAAGGATGGGACAGCTGGATATAGCTGCACACAAATCTATATGCACATCACAACAACTGAATTTAATGGGATGTTCAGATTGATGCAGAAATAATTGCAATGTATAGGCAGCATAGTAAAGCCTCACACATTTTGCAGAATATAAATATACAGTGCATTTGGAAAGTATTCAGAACCATTCCCTTTTTCCACATTTTGTTACGTTACAACCTTATTCTAAAATGGATTAAAGTTAATGTTTTCCTCATCAAATCTACACACAATAAGCCATAATGACAAAACAAAAACAGGTTTAGACATTTTTGCAAATTTATGAAATATAAAGAACAGAAATACCTTACATAAGTATTCATACCCTTTGCTATGAGACTCGAAATTGAGTTCAGGTGCATCCCGTTTCCATTGATCATCCTTGAGATGTTTCTACAACTTGATTGGAGTCCACCTGTGGTAAATTCAATTGATTGGACATGACTTGGAAAGGCACACACCCGTCTATATAAGGTCCCACAGTTGACAGTGCATGTCAGAGCAAAAACCAAGCTATGAGGTCAAAGGAATTTTCCGTAGAGCTCCGAGACAGGATTGTGTCAAGGCACAGATCAGGGGAAGGGTACCAAAAAAGTTATGCAGCATTGAAGGTCCCAAAGAACACAGTGGCCTCCATCATTCTTAAAAATAGAAGAAGTTTGGAACCACCAAGACTCTTCCTAGAGCTGGCTGCCCGGCCAAACTGAGTAATCGGGGGAGAAGGGCCTTGGTCAGGGAGGTGACCAAGAACCCGATGGTCACTCTGACAGAGCTCCAGAGTTCCTCTGTGGAGATGGGAGAACCTTCCAGAAGGACAGCCATCTCTGCAGCACTCCACCAATCAGGCCTTTATGGTAGAGTGGCCAGTCGGAAGCCACTTCTCAGTAAAAGGCACGTCACAGCCCGCTTGGAGTTTGCCAAAAGGCACCTAAAGGACTCTGACCATGAGAAAGAAGATTCACTGGTCAGATGAAACCAAGATTGAACTCTTTGGCCTGAATGCCAAGCGTCACATCTGGAGGAAACCTGGCACCATCCCTAAGGTGAAGCATAGTGGTGGCAGCATCATGCTGTGGGGATGTTTTTCAGCGACAGGGACTGGGAGACTAGTCAGGATCAAGGGAAAGATGAGCAGAGCAAAGTACAGAGAGATCCTTGATGAAAACCTGCTCCAGAGCGCTCAGTACCTCAGACTGGGGCGAAGGTTCACCTTCCAACAGGACCACGACCCAAATCACACAGCCAAGACAACGCAGGAGTGGCTTCAGGACAAGTCTCTGAATATCCTTGAGTGGCCCAGCCAAAGCCCGGACTTGAACCGCCCCATCCAACCTGACAGAGCTTAAGAGGATCTGTAGAGAAGAATGGGAGAAACTCCCCAAATACAGGTGTGCCAAGCTTGTAGCGTCATACCAAAGAAGACTCAAGGCGGTAATCGCTGCCAAAGGTACTTCAACAAAGTACTGAGTAAATGGTCTGAATACTTATGTAAATGTGTTATTTCCTTTTTTTTTTTTTTGTAATACATTTGCTAAATTTTCTAAAAACCTGTTTTTACTTTGTCATTATGGGGTATTGTGTGTAGATTGATGAGGGAAAAAAACAATTTAATCAATTTTAGAATAAGGCTGTAACGTAACAAAATGTGGAAAAAGTCAAGGGGTCTGAATACTTTCCGAATGCACTGTATCTGGTTACAGTGCCTTCAGAAAGTATTCATACCCCTCGACTTATTCCATATTGAACCAGGTTTTCTAGGATTTTACCTTGTGCTTATAGCTGTATTCCATTTATTTTATCCTAAAAAACTCCCTAGTCCTTGCGGATGACAAGCATACCCATAAAATGATGCAGCCACCACCATGCTTAAAAATATGACAAGTGGTACTCAGTGATGTGTTGGATTTGCCCCAAACATAACGCTTTGTATTCAGGGCAAAAAGTTAATTTCTTTGCCACATTTTTAGCAGTTTTACTTTAGTGCCTTGACTAAATCCTGCAAACAGGATACAGGTTTTGGAATAACTTGCTAAAAAATCTAAAAACCTGTTTTAGCTTCGTCATCATTGGGTATTTTGTGTAGATTGAGGGGCGAAAACAAATGTATGTAACAAAATGTGGAAAAAGTCAAGGCGTCTGAATACTTTCCGAATGCACTAAAAAAGTCGCTGGAAATACATTTCAATTATGTATTGTTTTATTGAATAGTTATGACTGGTTCGAGATATGTCATAGAATGACGGTGGCGAAGGATATCATAGAGTTGTGAGTAGGAGGAGCTCTGCGGACCCTTAGTGTCCAGAAGTAATTTTAGTCAGTGTGATCTGTTGAGTTGCTATTTTCTCAAGTTCTCACTCATTCCTGGATTACTCATTATATTAATAAAGTCTGATTTAAATCAACAAATACGATAGTCAGACACGAGAAAACAGCAACTCTACAGATCACAATGACTACAATGAATGGCTAAATTACTTCCAGACAAGAAGGGTCCGGAGCTCCTCCTCCTCACCACTATTTTGCTACATGTAGGCTACTTTCTGTAATTTGTCTCAATATATATAATGATGTGTAGCCTAACGTGCTTAATGATGTGCCAAATCTGTGATTTTGTGCATTTTTATTGGGTAAGCATTAGAATAAGCCGCCTCAATATTTGCATGTTATAAATTGTTCATATGAAAGAATATTACCCCTAGTTGTCGAACACATCAAGAACAAAGTTAATATTATTTTAATGCCAGCTAGGGTAGAACAATGACTTATTCCTTACAGTTATGTCTGAATTATTCCACAAAAGAGTCTTATTCTGGGAAAATATTTTCCAGGACATTAAAGCTTGTTGGTGAAACCTAGCCAATTTGGCGGGTAATCTTTCAGGAAGATAATTCGATTTCAGTAAAAATGGAAGACCTCCCAACTTATTAAACACATTGTTTGGAATGAAATACCAAATTGATTCTGTATTGACCAAACATATTTTCAACCAATTGATCTTGAAAATGTCATTTATGTTAACAAAATCCAACATTTCCAGACCTCTTATTTGAGAGAACTGACTTTTTCAGTTTGAGAGACTTATTTTTCCAGATGATGTCAAGAAAGGTCTTGTTGATCTCTTTACAGGTAGATGAATTTACAAATGAAGACAGCAGTTGGTACAAAATAAAAAATGATAATGTATGCACTCACTAACTGTAAGTCGCTCTGGATAAGAGCGTCTGCTAAATGACTAAAATGTAAAATGTAAATGTACACAAAGCGAGACAATCCCTCTGCCTTGGACAGAAGCACTCTCCCAAGTATAGATAGATTATTAAATATATTCTTGGTTCTTAATTTTAGGAGAGAAATTATTATATTGTCTGATTAAGTGATTTTTAGATAGATGTATTCCTAAATATTTACCACAGTCCTTTAAAATGAATATTTTCTATTTCTTTATCAGTCATATAAACATACGATTTCACATTTAGAAACATTTAGTTTTAATCTAGCTCTGACTACTGATAGCTACTTTCTTGAGTACAGAAGCAGAAGTGATATGTGGTTGTCCCACCTAGCTACTGTATCTTAAGATGAATGCACTAACTGTAAGTCACTCTGGATAAGAGCGTCTGCTAAATGACTAAAATATAGAAAAATGTTTTTCCAATACCTTTCGGAATTTATTTATGTGATCAACGCCATTCACAGCGGTCTAACTACACTAATGAAAACTCATCTTAGCTTTGGTGATGATCACAGAGTTTATCCAGAACTCAGCCTGGAAGGCATGGGTTTACTTGAGAAATCTTGTAACAAATACATAAAGACACATTTTCCATTCACGGAACCAATTTACACCTAGCGGAAGTTTTGTTGGGAACATGTTTATTTCTGACATTGTCTGGAAAAAAGCTTGGTTGATGCCTTACAAATACTGTATACCAAACAAATGTAAGGAAGTGCACTTTAAGATTCTGCATAAGATACAGTACCAGTCAAAAGTTTGGATACACCACCTCATTCCAAGGTTTTTCTTTATTTTTACTATTTTCTACATTGTAGAATAATAGTGAAGACATCAAAACCATGAAATAACACATATAGAATAATGTAGTAACCAAAAAAAGTGTTTAACAATTCAAGATGTATTTTATATTTGAGATTCTTCAAAATAGCCACCCTTTACCTTGATGACCCAACACACCTCCAGGCTGTCTAAGGGCTATTTTACCAAGAAGGAGAGTGATGGAGTGCTGCATCAGATGACCTGGCCTCCACAATCCCCCGACCTCAACCCAATTGAGATGGTTTGGGATAAGTCGGACGGCAGAGTGAAGGAAAAGCAGCCAACAAGTGCTCAGCATATATGGAACTCCTTCAAGACTGTTGGAAAAGCATTCCAGGTGAAGCTGGTTGAGAGAATGCCAAGAGTGTGCAAAGCTGTCATCAAGGCAAAGGGTGGCTATTTGAAGAATATAAAATATATTTTGATTTATTTAACACTTCTTTGGTTACTACATGATTCCATATGTGTTCTTTCATAGTTTTGATGTCTTCACTATTACTCTACAATGTAAAAAATTGTCAAAAAAAAAAAAAAAAAAAAAACTTGAATGAGTAGGTGTCCAAACTTTTGACTGGTAGTGTATATACACATGTAATTCTATGTTATCCAAATTTGTTGACATTGATGATATCTGCGTTTTCTGCTTACACACTTGTTCTATGAATGTAAATCTGTGATAGAGTTTTGGGAAAACCTTGCAGAAAACATATTTAGCTTTTTGAACACTACCCTTGTTTTTGACATGAAGGATATCATATGTTACTATTGCAATGATAACAAGACCATATACTTTTTTCTCGTTGCCAAATACTTTATACACAAACATAAATTCCTGAATTCCATAACAAAATTACAAAAATGTCTGATTTAATTTAACCATCTTGTTTAGACATTATTCACAGTTACTAGCATCTCCTTGAATCATTATGAGATTTTTCTGAGTGAATACAATTGCACTTTATTTTTTTCAAAAACAAATATGTATTTAAAGTATTTTATTGTTTTTACCTGTGTTTTGTTTTATGTTAGACATGTCAGTTGTTGATTGCTGATCATTTGTATAATGAATATTTGTGCCTTATATGTAATTTGTACTTTGTATCGTTTTGTAAAACAAAAAATTTAAAACAAAAAAAATCTACCAAAAATAAAATAAACATCGCTATCCGGAAACCGGGGCACAGTCAAGTGTGTATATGTTAAAAACAGGAATTCTTTATATACAAATCTAATTTTACGAGTGTCTTACATTATTTCAATGGAAATTGAGGACAACATATGTTGTAACAAACCGTTGTTTATCAGCCCAGTAATGTTGTTCAAATTCGCTTTCCATATGACATGGACTACGGCGTTACATGAAACTGGTCCTGGACCGGTGCTTAGCGTCTATAATTACCATCATGTTATATGACGCTTGTGTCTTCCGTGTATGACACATTTCACGCTGAGCTCGTGGCAATGGACATTCAGCCAAGTCTGTTATTGTCTGTACATCCAATGTTACACAAACACACAATCAGTAAATTATTAGGCTACTGTTTGCAATTCTTCCGTGTATGACAAATTTCACACTGAGCTCGTGGCAATGGACGTTCAGCCAAGTCTGTTATTGTCTGTACATCCAATGTTACACAAACACACAATCAGTAAATTATTAGGCTACTGTTTGCAATTGAGTACGCAATCACACCGACTTCTTTAGCCTACAAAAGTAGCACTTACGAGTTTCCTAAAAAGTCATGGAATTTGATCTTGCCGATGGTTGTCTCGGCTTCGAAGTTAGGGAACACGTCTCCTAGCAGTATCCCAGGCATGGTTCTCTTTTCGCCGTTAAGTGACGGGGTAGTGTTCTTCTTCTTCTTCTTCTTCGGTAGAGTTTCACGGCGGGTGGCATCCAATATTTATGGTGCATTACCGCCACCCACTGTACAGGGGTAAAAAATGAAAATTACAGAATTCCTCCCTTATGTGGAAAGCTAAGTGAATTGTGTTGATATCACAAGTTTACTGGAGAACTGAGACCAAGTAGAGACTTTGGACAGGGTGGATATGGTATAATAAAGGCAGTTTATTCAGAGGTAAAGATATCTGGAAAAGCGTGCACGGACTCGTTCGTCAAACTCGTAGGGAGCTATCTGAAGAGAGCCCCGAAACATTGTGTGCAGACATTTTATGCAATAAATGATGTAGGTTGAATCTAGTAGTTCTGATCTTCTGATTGGTCCTGGTGAGTTGGGCGAGGTCCCCTCCAGGCTAGTGTCACTGTTGCATTGGCTCTGAGTAGAGTTCTCTGTCTTCAAATGTTCAGCCTAAAAGAGGGGATTTTGTGTGTGTGTGTGTGTGTGTGTGTGTGTGTTAACAGTGATGATGTGTGTGTGTGTGTGTGTGTGTGTGTGTGTGTGTGTGTGTGTGTGTGTGTGTGTTAACAGTGATGATGTGTGTGTGTGTGTGTGTGTGTGTGTGTCAACAGTGATGATGTCTGTGTGTCTCAAGGGAAACTCGTGAGATGGAACAACTGAGAGGCCTATGGCGTGGGTGTTGTCCTTGGCCACCTGGTGACAAGATAGGACCCTTTGTCCATTGTTCTTGGATAGGAACAGAATTTATACAAAACAAGCTCCTGACCTTAATAGATCTTAGCACAACATCTTACTCAACATATCACATTCCATATTCACTACGACAAATATATTTACTACGACAATTGCAGCAGCAATTTTTATAAGTTAACCAAGATAGACGAAAGCCTGTCGTTTCCAATGGAAACAAATTAGTCATAGTGGGCAGAACAAGCAAGGAGGTGGGCAGAACCAAGCACGAGCTAGCGAGATCCTATTGGCCCGTTCTAGCATACATCTACATATTTCCGTTAGGGAACGCCTGCTCTGTGATGTGCGCGTGTGCAGTAACTCAATTTGCATTTGCACTCCTTCTAAACAACGCGATTTTTGAAAACTTTGCCAAAGGGTAAAGTCTACAAAACTTAGTCCACTCTGTTCATAACATATTCTAGTTTTCGGAAAATAAAACTGTTTCATCGATGTTTCATTGATGAGAAAATATGCAGAATGTCGGCCAAAATCCATCTCCTTCCATCTTCTACCACTGCCGGCCACTGGGCTTCCTCTCACTACCATATTTGTACATCCGGTGAAATATCTGTCTCATTGTTCTATCTGTGGCGCTAGGCTGCATTGAAAACAAATCTCCCCTACATTCCAATTCCCCGTAACATGGCAGAGAATTGTGCTTGAGCCTTTTACTTGGTCCACCAGCTTCAAACGGGGGGATTTATTGGGCTAGGCTTTGGCTACACAGGACCCTGAATGAATGGACAAAAGGGGAGGGGTTAACATTTCTTACTTAAACTCATCCCCACCAATCGGAGCTCAATGAGGCACAGGTGACTTGTGTAAAGTTTACTATTTATTTTCCCTAATTCATTTTTATATAGTTACATTTTTATTAAGATTAGGCTACTAGCCCTAATATAAAATGTCTTGCAAGCTTAGCCTATTATTGGCTCTGACATCATAGTATAGCAAAACCAACATCTGGCTATAATAAGTACTATGCATATTCAATCATATTCAATAAACAAGTTTTGTTCATAATAAGGCCTACACACATTTAGACTACCGTAAAACTTCAAATAAACGCAGTCTCAAATAGCCACCTGTCCCTTTTAATAGCCGGCAACGGCACACATTTCAGCAAATAAACCTCTGTTTCAAATAAACGCCGGGTCTAAATGAATTGTTTACGAGGTTACCACTAATTACCATTAATTTACTTTTGAGGTTTAATGTTTTATTTCTTACATTAAATAATTCAGTAATGACTGGAAAAAATTATGTCAATCATCCGTTTTTTATCGGCAGTAAGAAACTGCTAGCTAGCTATTGGCTGCTAACAGCTGAGAACTGCTAGCTAACTGGCAAGCACAAAAACAGTCAACAACTTCGGGAATACAGAGTACAGACCCCCAGAATAACCCTCTAGTGGCGAAAGTAAGAACTGACAAAATGCACAGTCAAAGAGGAGAATAATTATTATTGCTGGATGTGAATGCTGGACTTTGTAAACAACAGCTGGTGCACAAAATCAAATACTAAGGAAGTCTCGAGGTTTTGCTCGCCTGAGGTAGAGTATCTTAGGATAAGCTGTAGACCACACTATTTACCAAGAGAGTTTTCATCTATATTTTTCATAGCTGTCTATTTACCACCACAAACCAATGCTGGCATTAAGATTGCACTCAACGAGCTGTATAAGGCCATAACTAAACAGGAAAACTCTCATCCAGAGGCAGCGCTCCTAGTGGCCGGGGACTTTAATGCAGGGAAACTTAAATCCGTTCTACCTAATTTCTACCAGCATGTTAAATGTGCAACCAGAGGAAAAAAAAACTCTAGACCACCTTTACTCCACACACAGAGACGCATACAAAGCTCTCCCTCGCCATCCATTTGGCAAATCTGACCATAACTCTATCCTCCTGATTCCTGCTTATAAGCAAAAATTAAAGCAGGAAACACCAGTGACTCGGTTAATAAAAAAGTGGTCAGATGACGCAGATGCTAAGCTACAGGACTGTTTTGCTAGCACAGACTGGAACATGTTCCGGGATTCTTCAGATAGCATTGAGGAGTACACCACATCAGTCACTGGCTTCATCAATAAGGGCATCGATGACGTCGTCCCCATAGTGACCGTACGTACATACCCCAACCAGAAGCAATGGATTACAGGCAACATCCGCACTGAGCTAAAGGGTAGAGCTGCCGCTTTCAAGGAGCGGGACTCTAACCCAGACGCTTATAAGAAATCCCGCTATGCCCTCCGACGAACCATCAAACAGGCAAAGAGTCAATACAGGACTAAGATTGAATCGTACTACACCGGCTCTGATGCTTGTCGGATGTGGCAGGGCTTGAAAACTATTACAGACTACAAAGGGAAGCACAGCTGCGAGCTTCCCAGTGACACAAGCCTACCAGACGAGCTAAACCACTTCTATGCTCGCTTCGAGGCAAGCAACACTGAAACATGCATGAGAGCACTAGCTGTTCTGGATGACTGTGTGATCACGCTCTCCGTAGCCGATGTGAGTAAGACTTTTAAGCAGATGGCGTATTGAATAGAAATCGGTACAAAACACCTCAAGATAAAAACATAATATTCAAAATCAGTAAGTTAGACTAAATATTAGCATTTCATATATTCGCAGTTAATATAATTCAATCTGGATAATAACAGAAATAAGATCATAAGGCTAGAGAAATATATCGACAAATATTACTACAACAAGCAACACCCAAACATGACTGAAGACAAGCGTGGAGAGCCGATCCCCAAAAGAAAACGCGACTCATCGACAGATACAGATGATATATGCTTTTCACCACTAGGTATGGTAAGTGTGGAAAGCGACCTGTTGAAGTCGATAAATGACAAATTGGGCATACTAGAACTGGTCAGTAAAGACGTAAAAGAGTTGAAAGCGAGTCTTCAAATGAGTGACGAAAAAGCTTTGGTAATGGAGAAAGAAACCAAAGAAATAAAAGTGACAGTCTCTAAAATGGAAACGGACGTTAGGGAATTAAAAAAGGAGAACAATCTTCTGAGAGAAGCCTTACTAGACATCCAAACTAGATCGATGAGGGAAAATCTAGTACTTACGGGTATTCAGGAAAAGGAGGGAGAAATAACAGAGAATATTATGAAGGACTTCCTGCATACAGCGCTGCAAATCCCACTCGAGGCTGTCGATAAAATCCAACTCGAACGTGTACATCGTTTCGGAAAAAGAGGACAAAAATATGAGCGCCCAATCGTTGCCAAATTTGCTTTTTTTAAGGACAAAGCTATGGTGAAAAGCCTGGGAAGGAGACTTGCTGGCACGAAAATAGGCATGAATGATCAGTTCCCGAAGGAGATTGTAGAAAGGCGCAAAGTTCTGTATCCAATCTTCAAGGAAAACAGATTAAAAGGGAAACGTGTTGCACTCATGGTGGATAAACTATATATTGACAACCAAATGTTCAGAGACACAAAGACTACTCCATGGCTATTCTAAAAGTTGTAATGGAGGAGTCAAATATTGGAGCACCTGATACTAGCAATGATAGGGATTGTAATATTAAATAATATTTATAGTAAGTATAGTATTTTATAAATGGATAAAACGATATAACAAGCAGAATAATACATCTTTATATACAAATAATTAGAACATGGATTTTTTGGCGGGAGGTTGTTGTTTTGGCGGATGGTTGTTGTGGTTGGTCCTGTGTTCTCTCTGGCGTCCTTTCCCCCTTGCAGCAGATGTGGATGCGGGTGCGTTTGCACGCTCGGCCCATTTCTTCCGCAGTCAGCCATGTGGTGTGCATTTTTGTGTTTGAAAAGGTACGGCGTTAAGTGAGTGAGAGGGGAAATGGTTGCATATCCCAGAGCCGACCGGGGGTCTATGAACAGGGGTAGTGAGAGAGAGAGCTTTCAATTTTGTGTAGATGAGGGATATACATTTTTAAATATAGTAAACATCTAATCTAATTATTCATTGTCCTATCATGATGGAAAGATCCCTAACCCTATAACCTGGACACCCACCTGAGCGACCCATACACCAAAGAGAAGTTCCCATCTATTTTATGGACCTGCTGTGAATATGCAGCCTAAATAGAGAAATAAATGCGGTCAGAGACCTACTTGAGCAGCACCGCCCCCTCAAGATTCTGAGCCTGCCTGGCAGGGTTGGTCCTACAAAGCCAGAGCCCCCTGATGGGAGAGCATAATATACAAGGAAATTCTCAAAGCTGCTAATGAGAACCTTGACGACCTTTTACCTAG